ATTATTTGCTTTCTGTGGTGGTTTTTTTTTAGAATATTCATCTCCTGGATTAACAACTATTAGATACCACAATGAAACACATTTACTCAGTTCCAGGCCCCACAGAAACTTATGAGAGTTGGGCTCAGTGAAACCAGAGACTAAATCTCTCTTTTAATTTCCCTTTCCACTCTAAAATCCTATAATTTCAGGCTTCCCTAGGCCTTTGAAGTATGACAAAAGATCCTTGAAAGTCTAAATTCCAGTCTGTAGTGAAGGAAGGCTCACAGAGGTGGAGCTATGATATCAATCTTGAGAACCACGCGGCCCCAGAAATCAGAGCCTTCATCTGCAGAGTGTGGCCTACTACAAGGGCAGACAGCTTAAGGCCAGCTGCTTACTTAAGAACAAGCAGGCCACAGAGGGTTAAGTCTGTTCTTTATACAGAAAGCCAGCTGGCAAGAAGGAGGTAAAAGGCAGTTTGCCTTGGCAATCGTCTACTATGGGTTAGACAAGCAGTTCTTTGTAATGTGCCTATATTCTGGCCCAGCTAACAATGACTAGGTGTTGTCCAAAATTGGGTCAGTTCAAAGGAAAAAACACCTTTAGAATAGAATTCTCTATTCTAAAGGCAAGTTACAGGAGCAACTGATACAAATTTTCCCACGGTGCATCGCTTTCCCCAGGCTTTTCTCGAATGGAACGATGCTATGGCAAAGGGAACAGATGCTCGTTAATGAGGCAAGAAGCTGTGTACCCCTCCACTTGTTTGAGGGCAAATTCCTTAAAGCACAACAAAGTTCAGAGGCAGGGAATTTGCAGGCCTGAAGCAGCCTCAGTAACTCATGAGGATCAACACAGGAAGCTGCCTGCCCTGGTGCAGGAGAAACACGCCTAGATAGAATGGTTTCCCTCTAGCACACCACCATCTGGCTCCCTCTGTGACCCATTTGCTCCCCCACGTCCTATGTTTCTAATTTTCATCTTTTCCTCTTTCCCCTAACCCATCGCCGCCTCCTACCCCAAACCACCTCTTCACCCTTATCTTAGGAAACAGAAGTCATCAGAGAGCTTCCTCACACTTCCACCACAAACTACCAGCTTCTTCCCCCAAATCTCCCACTGACCCGCACTAGCCCCATTCCCTCACCTTCTCCCCTGACCCACCACTGCCTCCCCTCTGCCTCCCACGTGACTCCAGCAATCAGTAGCTTGATTCTAGAATATTCGCATTTTCTTTTTTGGGTAATTTGCATTAGCACACAGTTCCATCATAGCAAAAATTTAAAAATCCTTCTTTAACCCCATATTCTCCTCCAGATGACTCCCATTTCTCCTGTCTTTTTGTAACAATTTCTTTCAAGACATGTCCACTCATGATCTCCACTGTCTTTTCCCCAGGTCTCTTAAGGCCATCAGGGATTGTGTCCCTACGCACCTGCACAGGAAGATGGAGCACGCCTACAACTTCCCCCTTGCCAGTCCAATGGCCCATTCTCAGTGCCTTCTTACTTGACATTTCTGAAGTGTTTAATGGTCAGTCACTTTCTCTTTCTTGGAACAAGTCTCGTTTAGTCTCTGGGACATCACTGTCTTGGTTTCTCCTATTTCAGTGGCCACTCTCAATCTTTCCGGCAGATTCCTTCTCATCTTCATAGTTTCTAAATATGTGGAGTTTACTGTGGCTTGGTCCTTAGCCCTCTCCTCTTTTCCATCGGATTCATTCCTACTAAGGTGATCTCATGCAGTTTTGTGGGTTAAAAAACCACTTATATCCCCAACGTCTCATCCAAGCTGCAGATTTTTAAATGCAACTCACTGCCCACCCAACACCTTTTCCTGGATCGAACTTAACACGTCCCAGACCGCACTGTCAAATGCCTCCGCACCCGCTCTACAGGCCTTCCCATTCAGTCACACCAACTCCCCTGCCAGGTTCTCAGGCTAACTCTTAATGTAATCCTTGACTATTCTTTTCCTTTCACTTATATACCAGCTCTACTCTTGTTCTCTTATAGTTTTGCTTGACACAGCAGACAATGTGATCCTTTTCCAATGAAAGTATGCTCAAGTGTCTCTACGGCTTCTCATCTCTTCAGAATAAAACCCAACTTCTTTACCATGGCCTACAAGCGCCATGTGATTTGACCCGCACTACTTAAGGTCTTGACATTATTGTCTACTATCCTCTCCTTGTCCACTCCATTCTACACAAATGGTTTCTCTGCTGTTTGTGCAATGTGCCAAAGTACACTCTTGTCTTAGGGCTTTTGTACTTGTGTTTCCTAGACTACTCTCTCCCCCAAATTTACACGTCTTGCTCACTTCCTTCAGATCCCTGCTCAAAATCTGAGAGGTCTTTTTCAATTACCCTACATAAAGCAGCACCACTACTCTCACCCACTAGTCATTCTCTATCCCCTTTGCCCTTACAACCACCTGACATACTGTATGTTAAAAAAAAAATGTCTTCCTCCAGAGACTGTAAGACCCACAGAAGCACTGCTGTATTTCCAGTACTCATGTCAGTACCTATCACATAGTGGGTGCTCAAGTATTTGTTGGCTGAATGAAAGGAATGGAGAGGTGAGAACCTCCTACAAATTGAGGAGGTGGTGGCAGTGACTTTTCCTGAATGTCAATAATATTCAGCCGTGGGATGGGCCTGATCATGGTCCTGTCCACACATGTCATCAGTTGCTGCTGTGACTTACAAAAGGAAATTTGTCAATTTCTGTCACAGAAAGGTTGGATTATTTTTCCTATTTGGCTTCATGTGCTTTTTAAAAGTTAATTTCATAATTAAAAGTTTATAAAGACTTACAATGAACTGCAGGTTGACCCAGTACAACAAAATTCCTTTCTATAAGCAATGTATTTTCAAAAATTCTCTGGACTATTAAAAAAATGGTCATAAGCAGCTAAAGTGATTTATAAGCCACTACTGGGTTATGAAAATTACTGTCTTGACCTAATAAAAAGAGGGACCTTGTGGAGTTAGAAGATTATGAAGAAAGAAGACCTAGAATCTTTACAACCTGTTGATTTGGGGTATTATACTATAGCGAAGAAGAGAAAGAGAGACACTACTGCTCAGCGGGATAAAGCAGCATGAACCTTCTGCTCCAGTATCTAGGGGGAAAACAGTGAAATTACAAAAGCCTTATTTTTGAGGCTACGGAAACAACAAGATGAAGTATACTTTCAGAAAGGGAAGAGCCCCTGCTGGAGGAGTGCTGACAACCACCAGTTGTCTTCCTCCGTGAGGGCATTTGCTAAAGGTATGGGCTGAGGACTGGGTATGCCCTGGAAAAGTGCCTTTTCCTGGGGAAAGAGCACAGCAGTGTTTTGGTTGTGTGAGGCTGGCAGGACAAATTAACACTAGAGGAGCCCCAAATGCAAGGCTATTTGCCTGATGGGACATCTGCCGAGTCCAGGAAGCTAGGACTGGAAAAACAGAACAAAATTTTCCACAATCTCCTGGTGCTTAGCAGACAAATTCCTGCTAGAAAGAAGACCTGCCAAAAAATAACTGGTGTCCCCACTCAATCAGGTGGGAGGGTAAAGTACTGCCCTCAAACAAAGTTTTGCCTTTCTGTGGAAAGCAAAGTTTTGGGGGTCGAGGAGCTTAGAGATCCTTCCATGCCGTTACTCAAAAGCCCTGAAGGACCAGACCCAAGAAACATCCATGAGCCGGAAGTGAACTGAGGTTTTCCAAAATTGTAATCCAGGCCCGCATAGTTAAATCCTTGTTGTAGGTTGAACTGTGGCCCCTAAAACTCATATGTTGACATCTGAACCCCTGGTACTTTAGAATGTGATGTTATTTGGAGACAGTGTCTTTACAGAGGTAACCAAGTTAAAATGAGGCCATTAGGATAGGCCCTAATCCATATGTCCTTATAAAAAGGGGAAATCTGGAGACAGACGCGCACACAGGAGAATGCCACATGATGATGAAGGCAGAGACCCTAGACTGTCGGCAATCCACCAGCAGCTAGGGAGAGGCAGACAAGCATTCTTCCTGCAGCTCTCAGAACAAACCAGACCTGCCCACACCTTGATCTCAGATTTCCAGTCTTTAGAGCTGCGAGACAATAAATTTCTGCTGTGCAAGCCACTCAGCTGGTGGTACTTTACTATGGCAGCCCTGGGAAACCAATGTAGTCCCTGACTTGATCAGACCCCTGAGCTAAAGAGAAGGACCTATTTGGATTCCCTATAGACAGAGCACAGTCTCGGCTGGGAGGCAGAATGGGTGGCTACTGACAGTCTAGGAATACCGTGGAATAGAGCACAAGACATGGTTTCTCGTGACCATCCTGGTAATTAAACCAGAAGGCGAGAAGACAGGTCTCCCTCACGCCAAGCCGTAGGCCATGGGCACCCATAAAGATGCAAAGGCCAAACTCCAAAGCACAACTAACTGTGTTAACTAATTATAAGCATTAATACTCACATTACTTCAGGTTTCAAGAAAATTGGCTGCTGAATTCTAAGAGCAATTACTAAACGCATCATCAGAAATGAACCTGCTTACCAACGTTTTCCAACCTCCTCACCCAAACTGAGATTTAGAACTAAGAAAAAAAAAACGCATCTAAAAGTACAATTAATTATAAATGGTCTTGCAAGTCAGGTTTATTAATTTATCTTTACTTTGAAGTTCTTCAAGCTTTGATTCAGGTTAATTAACACTAGGACATTAGCTTTAGGAGTGTGTGGTTTCAAACAAATGGGTCTGTTAAAATAAGTCTGTGGAAGACACTAATATATTGTAACAAGAGTCCAACTATGAAAGGCTAGGGGTAGAGTATTCTTATTTAAACAAAATATAACATGCTAAAAAATTAACGAGGTTTTAAATTATGAGGTAGACTGTGTCAACTAAAAGGAATTTTCCCACACTTGTGGTTATGTAATTTCAATATGAAGAGATTCCCGTGTTGGAAGTTTAATCTCTATTGATTTTGATATATAAGTAAGAATGCAATAATCACACAGAATACATTTTCATTTACCTCTCCCAAAGAGAAATAGTGACGTGGAATCTGAGAATCAGGATAAATATTCTCCAGGTACCAAGAGAAAGGTTTGCATTGGAGTTTGTGTCTTAGACCAACTCTTGATGCTATATCTCCATAATCTACCTTTGTAACACCTGTTAAAAGAAATGAATGGGTGGCATTATTAATGTTCTATTGAGTAATACATTTCTATTTGTTACATCCAAGCAAAAGGAATGGGAGAAGTGGTACCATTTTGCTGATGTCTGACTATGTAAGTGATATACCATAAATGTACTTCCTCAAGTATAAAATAAGAAAATACAGTAGTGTATGTTTTTCAAAGAAAAATGAAATTTATATGAGAATGATATACACACTAATAATATAAATTAGAAGGGACCAGAGAACTTTAATATGTTAAGGCAACAACAAAGATCAAGATTTATTTTGCCCAATTTTTACACAGAAGTCAACTAGAACAACTGTTTCTAGTCAGGTCTCTCTCACACAACTCACGGAATTGTGCACCCTGCCACCTGACAGTCTTGTGGTAATTAAAAGCTGAGGATGGAATGATAAACACTGTAAGGCGGACTTATAGCTGATAACACCTATTTCCGCAAACCCCTGAAGAGTAGAGTCAGGTTTCCAGACAGCAGTCCCTTGAGGTGTACTACAGGGATCTGAACTGGCCTTGAGGCACTCAGCCATCTCACATCAATGGTGAATGTTTCAATTAGATGAAAACAACACCCCCCCAACCCCGGACTAACAGTAATTTCTACAATACCAGTCTGGATAATTTATTATTATTGCTAGTAATGCATTACACCAGGCATTCTGCTAAGTGCTTTTTATACTGTGTGTCAGTTCATTTATTTCTTACAATGTCTTACGATGCAGGTAAGTGTTTCACCTTTGCTCAAAGCTTCTTTCTTCCTCTTCTTACATCTCCTCAGAAGGCAATAGGATCAGGGACAAGAAAATTAGTCTTGTATTTCTAACACAAAATAATGCTAACCTGGAGAAATTATATAGAAGAAATTCTTGAATTCATCCATCCACACTTCTGCAAGTCGCCTGTTATTTTTATTAATAATCTGTCCTGTGCCTCCTGGGAATGTGTAAGGTGTAGCTTTCCGGAACACATGTCCAACATGGGAGCAAGTGACAATCTCCAAAGTTCCTCCACACTGCCAGATCTGAGAACAACCACCAAGAAGACTAGCTTCAAACACAACAGAAAGAAGTCGGTTCGTGTTATATTGAGTTCCACAGTTGGGATTTCATAGAAGCAAGGGCATATAGTAGAGCTCCTGTTACACGGTCATAAAACCAGTGCTTCTTCAGGAGCAAAACTTTCTCTGACTTTGGTTCTGATTAAACCCGAGGCTGAAGGTTAGATTAAAAAAACATAGGTTGAAGGCTTAGTACAGAAAAGACATAAGGTCTAGAAGCAGTATTTTCCTAACTGCAGACCGTGACTCATAAAAGGGTCATAAATTCAAATTTGATGAATTGCAACCAGTACTTGCTAACAGAGACATACTGTTTCATGAAATGGTTATGTTTTATGTGTTATGTGTACATAATGAATAATGCGTTTATTAATATGGTTCATAGTCAAAAAACTTTGACCATGGAGTATTCAGCCAGAGTCCTATCTGCTCCTCCTCCTCTAAACTCGTGTGACAGCCTGTACATTAAATAGAAGCTGGGGCGTGGAGAGGGACCTCTCACAAGTTCCTCAGTGAGACGGCGACAGCACATGCTGCCATCTTCGTAAGCACAGGAACAACATGGGGACAGAAGACAGAGCAAGTATGGTTCCACATCTTTATTTAAGGAAAGTATCCTTATGCTCCTTTCAAAGTGCATTTTTCCATAAAGTTAAAAATCTACCAATTGCTTACAATTAAAACACTGTGAAAGTTTTGATTTCATTAAATATTCATTCAGTATTTTCCCAGGATCATAAAGTGATAAAGCTGGACGGGGTCTCCAAGAGGACCCAGAGTCCAAACCTCTCCTTTTGTAAGAGGGCAAAGACACGCCCGAGGAGCCCAGTGAGCTCGCTGGTTCTGATTACAGTGCAGGTCACTGTGGTTTCCACTACAAGATATGTGTCTAGAATTATTTCAGGAATACACAATCTCATTTAAATAATATGTTGATTGTTTTTAGAGCCTGAATTACTTCCTTAAAAATAACAGAAATCAAAAACAAATAGGGAATCTTGTGTAAGTTTTATAGGTAGACTATTAAGATAACTAAATTTATTTGCTTAAAATAGTTTATAATGAACCCTTAATAGTATCACCACCTTTTTTATGGACTGGAGGGTCTGAATTCTGGTTAAACTCATACTAATTTCATTTTTTTTTAAATTTAGAGAATAACATGAATAATTAAAGCACATCCATACTTGAGAAGAGAAGATTGCTTTTTTCGAAGGGAACTTACCCTAAAGGAAATTTCCAGGTTTTCTCCTCCCCAAATATCCATTCCAGCATCATATGTTCCAATTTCCTGAAAGTAATCTCTGTCTATTGAAAAAAGGCCTCCTGCCATTGTAGGTGTTCTGAAATTCAATCATAAAATACTCTACTGTTAATTGTAACAATTTAAAATTTACAATCAGTTTTTGTTTTTAAAAGTCATTTTGTAACTGTTGACAACTACAGAATAAATGCTTATTCTTACAATCTTCAGAAACTGTCACAGCCCTTAGGGGCTTCCTTTGTTACTACGTTAGGTCAGTAGGTTTCAGACCTGACCTGCGCCCTGGCCCTGCTGTCACAGCTTCTGCCTGGACGTCCTCTCCAGTCCCAGAGCCCTTCCTGTCTCCAGTAGCTGTCTTGGTCCTCAGGCCCTGACTGAGCATCCACCCTCAAACTCCTCTCCATCTGAGAGTGGGCCTACTCCATGGTTCCCAACAACTGTGAAAGCAGCTGACGATGCTAACCAGTTAGACTCATGTTAGCAACCCTAACACCCCAGGTTCTACAGGGTGGCAAGTATTCAAAGAAACAAGATTAAATAGGATGAAAACAATGTGGCCCTTTCCCTATACATAGTAGAAACTTTTAGGAAAGAAGGGGATGGAGTACAGAATACAATCTACACATCCTTCTAAGGCAGTGATTTTCAACAGCAAGAGGTACACTGCTGTGCCACAAGAATTTTCAAGACATGCAATACCTGACTATTTAGTCAGGGGCAATGGCCCTTTCCCCCTTAGAGTGTCAAATTAAAAAAAAAAAAAGGCCAACACAACAACAGCCATCTCGTGTGAATGAGTCAAAACTGTACGTATTTTTTGTCAGATCAGCAAAAACCACTTTTTGGTGTGCTGCAGGATTTCACTAATTGGTTTATGTGCCACGAGATGAAAAAGGCTGAAAATCGCTGTTCTAAGGGGATCATCATCCTGACCAAGGACAGTACATACACCCTCTGCAAAAGAGGAACCCAGTTCATCAGAACATGGCCCTTGTATGCAGAGTGGGTGGGAATAGGCAGAATTAAGCAGAGAAATGAAAATGAAGGAGGTTTAACTAAATGAATACCAAACATTTGATTTCCTTGAAGAATGAGTGTGAAGGAAAAATAGACTCGACTAGGAGAAAAAAATTAAGTTCCAGGGAAGAAGACACTATGCAGACTACATTCTAAGACTAAGTGGGCCTCCTCTGCATCTCTAAAATGTTCTCCTCACAAGCTCTAGGGATGGTGGTGTGCTTGCTTTTCCAGTAGAAATAGTTGTTTCCACAAAGAAGTTAGGACCTATTTTGAGTTTAGAAGACAAAAAGAAAGTCTAATATCATTGGACTCAAAAGAAATAGGCCAATGCCCATAGTTATTTAGTACAGGGGTTTCTTGACCTGGGTTTTGGGGTATCTCTAAGTTTCCTAGAATCATACATATGTTATATCAGGGTTTTCAAACTCATTCTCCCCGGGGGCCACATCAGCCGCACTGTTGCCTTCAAAGGGCCGAATGTCATTTTAGGACTGTATAACTGTAACTACTCCTTAACAGTGAAGTGAGAGCTCGGCGCTGTCGCCGGGTAGAAACAAGGTGCTGGGCCGGGTAAGACAAGGTGGAGGGCCAGATCCGGCCCACGGGCCTTGTGTTTGCCACCCGTGTGCTGTAACTTCTGTTTGCGAATATGTGCCCTCCTGCTTAGAGGAGACATAGCTTTTATAGATTTTTCAAGTAAGTCCATCATTAATGAAATGTTTAGGAACCCTTGGCTTTGTTGGTGATCTGACCTGTCAGCAAAAGAGTGGAAAAATCCCTTTACTAATTTAAGAACTCAAGCTGGCTAGGGGGGAAAAGATTATAATTTTTGAAACCTCTCTTGTACTCTGCCAGAACAGGACTTGAATTTGCAGGAAGGCAGATCTGAGAAGCCCAGGACAGCAGAGAGCTACGTAGCCTGGTTCTGAAGGAACTCTCAGTGACTACAGAAATAGACTAGTGCAACTGGGATAAATCCTAGGATGGCTCAGAAAGAAGCTCACGGTCTCCTTCAAGAGTCCGAAAAGCAGGAAGATTTTTATCCCTTTCTGAAAAAATCTCTATATGACCAAATGTAGAACCAAAGAAAATTCAGAAGTGCATTACTGAAAAATCTTTTTTACACATTTGTTGATTCTAGTTATTTCTGTACTTCAAACAAGTCCCCTTAGCCCTACCAGCCAGTAACTATCATCCAGATGGTACAAGTCTGGATATACAATCTTATATTTTGATTCAAGGACCCAATTTTAAGCAATATTTTAACATATTAACACATAATTAAGCAAGCGGTAGTTTGACTCAAGTTCAATACTATTCTTAACTGAATTAAAACACAAATCTGACTTAGACATTTGCACAATGTTATTCATATAAGAATGAAAGACCATGTGTCACCATTTCTCACATGCACTAGATTTATATAAACAAAAAGTTTTAATTTTATTAATTGATCAGGGGGAAAAATCTGTCTTTAGAGTGATGACATAGGTGAAAGATGGCTCTTAACTACATATATGGTATCCACATGCTTCTCAAAATATACTTATAATCCTTATGATTCCCTCAGTTTCACAATCACCTACCCATAACGCTTTACAGAGAAAATGTCTGACAAGTTACCTGACAGGAAGAGTCCGATCCCCTTTCCTTCTGTCCATTTCTCTTTGGGGAACAGGGTACCAGCGGAAATTGAGCTTCCAGTTGAATCCACCATAGGTCATATCAGAACCTGCCATGTACTCAAAAGTATCATCACTGATCACATCAATGATAGGACATACCACTGTTTTCCTAAAATCATAAAAGCAAATTAAAAAATCTTTTAAAACTTTCCTTTTTGAGGCCTACTATAACAACTGTATACTAAATGTTTTAAAAATAAAAATACATTCTATAATGAGTTAAAGCCAATGGTAAAAAAATTTCCCGCGACAGCCTACAAAGCTAACATCATAATTATTTATCGTATTTGTAACTTTTTGATAACCTTCCATCCCTTTTTCATTCATGCTTTTACGTATTTGCCACAAAACTGCCACCATATCTGGGTATTTTCGCTATAAGTATTGCCAAAAACATCTTAGCCTCAGGCATTCTTGATGTATAACTAATTGGTTATAACAAAGAAATAATGACAAAGGGCATTAAAACTAAGACATAACGAAACATGAAAATGTAAACAACATTTTTAAAAACTTTATTTAAAGTGTCTGTAGCTTCACGGCAGCACTGCAAATAACTGACTTTATATTGTGGATTTTACCTATGGGAAACATGGGTTCAATTCTGCAACCTCGAAGGAGGGCTCTCAGCCTCTCTTTCTGCTCCCAATGTAGTATGCTTTGAAAAAAGAAACCAACTCCTGGGGCAAATCACCGTCATCTGAAGGAGATGCTGACTGTGTGAAGACCACCGCCATGTCTGCTCGTCACTGGCTGGACCACTGAGGGCCAGCTAAGATTTATATGTAATATAAAAATGGGAGTAACTGCAAATTTGTCAATGGAAAAATGAAACCAAACTGACAGTCAACCAAACCAAAACTGTCAACAGTTTATCTTTTTTACTACAGTTGATTGATTTGTCAATGGAGAAATGAAATGAAACCAACACCCCCCCCAAACTATCAACTAATTACTTAATCTTTTTTGTGGCAAACTGCCTCACAACCAGTTAGTTACTCAACAAAATGCTTGTGGCAAAGACGCTACAGCTAAAATACCTAGAACCATTTGGCACATGTAAAAATACTTCAACTATTTCTACAGTTTAAAAAAATAACTCTCTTACTGACTGCGCATTAAATCATTTTAAGCTAATAATTTTCTTCATAAGCAATTCTTAAACATCTGTGTTCCTTATAGTGTTTTGCTATTAAGGTACCACGTGAACCTGTTCATATACATTTTCCACTTCTGCTTTAAGTGTAGGAGATTACTAAATGCAAAGAAGGAACTTTTTCCTAAAAATTTTATTTATTTTTAGAGAGAGGGGAAGGGAGGGAGAAAAAGAGGGAGAGAACGTCGATGTGATAGGGAAACACTGATTGGTGGCCTCTCACATGCCCCGCCCCCCACCCCCGCTGGTGGCCGAACCTGCAACCCAGGCACATGCCCTGAGCGGGAATTGAGCTGGCGACCTTTCACTGTGGGATGACCCTCGACGGAGCCACCCTGGTGACAGCTCTTTCTGTTTTAGACTATAGTTTCTAAACATTTCTTGCTGGTGTAGTGAAGGCAACTGCCTTCTCCATTATGATCTTATGTTTGGCAACAATGCTCAATTATTATTTCTATTATTTTGTATATATGTTCTTTATAGAAAAAACACATCACCTGCAATTGACAGCACCTGTTCTTTTTTCCTTCTGATCTTTATACCCTTTTATTTCTTGTATGACTGTAAAACCTAAGACTTCAATAATCCTGAGTAACAGCAGTAACTCAAGGTATCCTTATCTTTCTCCACATCTTTTAAAAAATCCTTTTGCCCTAAATGGTGCGGCTCAGTTGGTTGGGTGTTGTCCTGCAAAGCGAAAGGTTGATGGTTCAATTCCAAGTCAGAGAATACCCTGGTCAGGGGTCGGGGTGCAGACGAGAGGTAATTGATAGCTGTTTCTCTCCCTTCCTTTCCCCTTTCTAAAAATAATAAAATCTTTAAAAAATATACTTTCAACATTTCTCCTTTAATATGATGTTTACTTGCTAAGGTTTTGTTTTGGCTTTTTTAAGCTGTCTTTTCTCTGATTAGTACATTTCCATTCTATAACAGTTCACTAAGTATTTTTAATTATAAATGGATCCTTTTTCTGTATCTACTGAGGTGATCACAGAATTTTAATGATAATCATAGGTTCAGAAATATGTTGATGGTGTATTAAGTGAATTAGTTTTATATTAAACTAAACCAACTGGTCATGAGATATATGTATATATATGAAATATTATATACATACATACATATGTGCATATATAACATATATATAATTACCCGCTTCCACTGGATCAGTTTGGCAGTACTGTGACATTTTTGTATTAGCATTCATGAGTGGGTTTGAGTAATTTTCCGTGTACGTCTTTCCTAGTTTTCCTATCAAGGTTATACTAGTCTCATTAAAATAGGTGAGTTGGTTCTCTAGTTTTCTATATTCTGTTTATAAATTCTTAGGAGAGATTTGTTTCCCTGCCACCACCTCATACCAAGGCTGAAACAGGCAAGTTTTCTTTGGTGTGGTGAAATTTATTTGTCCTTCTCACTCACAATGCGACCCAGACATCAGGGTCCCAGCTTTACACAGGGGTCTCCTCATCATCTTCCCACCTTCTGCAGGGCCTAGACCTTTTCTCCTATCCTCTCGTCTATGTGTCTTTTAAGGCAAAAGCTTAGTGTCCCCAAGTTCAGCAAAAACCAAAAGCTGGCTTTAGTGTCTGAACTGGTCACTTGTTCTCAGTTTGTTTTGAGATCTGCAAAATTTCTTACTTTGGTGCCAAGTCAGTGGTACATTTAAAACTGTTTTTTGTATTTTAGCCAGCAAGCCTTCCAGCTGAAAAAGTTATTCAGGATCCGTAATCTACCCTACAGCCCAAACTGGAATTCGTTGTGATTGTTATTTCAGCCAATTCCCCTTTCATATTTCTGTTGTCGCCTTACATTGCTTCTCTCCACAGGTTCAGGCATCTGCTCCATAAAGGTTATATGTTGTCTTCACACAAGCAAATATTTATTTCCTACATTAGTTACTTTATAGAAAACAATTCACAGAGATATTCTGTCCCTTCTTCAGGCAATGTTCTTCTTAAAGCTGCTGTATCTTCCCATTGCCCCAATGCTGGGTTTTCCTATTATTCATCTTTGAATGCGGAGAGATTTATGTTCAGGAATTGCTAACAAACAGGATAGATGTAGGGGCTTTGATCTGCACTATGCTCCACTTGACTACTAAGTTTAGCCTGCTAAAATCTAAGCCTCAATGTTAAGCTGACACAGACAGCCCCTAGCTCAAACTGTGATTACAAGCAGAAATTCAACTAATTGAGATCTGTCGAGCAGACTGAAGTTGAGCTTCTGATACACAGGAACTAAGCCAGAGCCTAGCAGTAGGTTGTTCTTGTAAAAATCTGTCTGCATTATGAAAGACTACAGCCATGGGCATCCACAGCTCCTGATGTTCTTCCTGTATTATCTAAGACTATAGTGCTTTTCAACATGCAATTAAGCATTTCAGGATGTAATACGTATCTCCCATCCCCTTCTACTTCTTGCTGTACTACAGTTCCAGCAAGGATGTAGACAGAGATGGGATGACCTGCCAGCCCTAGTGTAAGCTTTACAGGGTAGGGACAAGTAAAGAGCTTTATTCTACCTTCCCGGAGTTCACTGTCCATCTGTTCTGCTCCCGTTCAGTGAGCAGACTTTACACAGAGTATACATCTTAACAACATGCCTCCTAATCCATTCTCATTAACAAGACAGTTTACAAACACTCCTTCCAGACTTGAGAATATGGTCTTCTTCATAATTCCTTTAAAGTGCTCTTCAAGGGTATTTTAAAGGAAACTTCAGAGGAAATTATTTTTTTATTTATTCACAAATATAGAATTTTGCAACTTACCATTACAGTTCAGGAAACAAATGTATAGATCCCAGAAAATTACCTGTCTTGTTTGATCCGGGCTAAGAGAGGCTCCAGCCACCCCACTGTGCACTCGCAGTGGGCGTCTAAGAAAGTGATCACTTGGCCTTTAGACACAGAAGCTCCTTTTAATCTGGCTCTGATCAATCCAGAACGTTGTTCCATTCGAATGACATGAACCGGTACTTTTAATTTTTTCACATAACTCTCTAGAGGTCTTTTCAAAAAGTCTGAAAAATTAACAACAAAAATAACATTAAAAAGCTGTGACCTGGCATTATCCAGATGCAGAGCAATTTTGGTCTGCCATATTCACTCAACACATATTTACTGAGCACTTTCAGCAAGGCTCCCTGACGCATAGACCCGTTTTGCTCTAGGGAGCCTTTGTGTTTCCTGAGAGAAAGCACCAGGGCTGCCCCTACCCCAGTACACCAGGAATCAGGAGAGCCTCCGGGGTCAGGCTCAATTAGAGATAGGCACGTTACCACATTTCTCTAAGCAACTCTTTGTAAGGCTCCATTTTGCTGTTTCTAATCATGCTTTGGGATCAGGAACAGAAGGAATATAGTTCACAAGCATTAAATCCAGACCACAATAGAGAAAAGGAACAGAGTATGCAGTAGCTGTTAGAGTTCAGAAAATTATAGTAGTTCTTCAAAGGTAGAAACTAATTGTCTTATTGATTACAAGTCTTTGGCTACACAGTTCTTTTATCAGGAGGTAGAAGGGAGGTCAAGCTCAGAAGAGAAGTATTGGATTTTAATTGCAAGACCAAACAGAGATCCTTAACAGTCAAGCAGATCTAAGTAAAAACAGTTTTAGAGGAAAGAACAATTGTAGAGGAAAAGGGAAAGGAAGAGGAAGTGGGCATGTGAAATTAATAGCTATCCTGGAGCTGTGTGGATAGAGGTTATGACCCTAAGCTAAGGATGTGCTGCTGCTGAAGTACATAATTGACTTTAAAAAGTAGAAAAGGCTCAGCTTCGTCAAAGCAGAGAGAAAGAACTTTTCAGATTAGGTTATTTCATGGCATTTATGCCAGAGAAGCTACTGATGGTGGTATGGTCAAAGGTCTTTCCAAATAGTCCCCATACGACAGGTGTGAGGATGATCTCTCCAGGGAAGGAAGAACCTGAGATGGAACGAGTGGGTCTCCGATGACCAGCTTTGTCCTGTAGGACTCTGATAAGGGGAAGGTCATGTGAAATCAAGATATATGTATTAAGGGGCTCTTTAAGTCCTAAAAGTGGGGAACCAAAAAACTTTCTATATAGTGGAGAGGGAAGGACAGACAGGAGTGACATGGTTCTCATCTGCTTAACTGGTCAGACCAGAATAATATAAAGACTGTGAAAGAGAAAGGGCCTGTGGAGCACACTACCCCAAAATATCCATCATTTCCACTGCTGCTAATATATTTCCTAATATACTGGGGCTTAAAAAATATTTGAAAAACACCTGGAATAGAACTCCTACCTGGATCAACACTGTGATTTTATGAACCAAATCTTAGAGTCAGAAAGATATAATTTGAGTTTAAAAAGATAAGGGTAGTGCCAATCCCAGAGACAAGCGACACTGTGCAACACTAGCTATCCTGTGTCTGTTTAGCAGAATGGCAGGCTCTTGACATATTTAAATTCATTTAGTACAATGACACTGTGAGATTGTCACATATTTTAGAGACAAAAATCTAAGGCTCATATTATTAAATGAACTGATCGGGGTGGCCCAGTTTGTTAAGGGGTTAATCCAAGGTTCAAAGCCATGCCTGCCTGATTTTGAAGCCTAACTTTTCATCCATAGCAAGAAATCCCAGCAGGAAACTACAGAGAGAACAATTCAGGATTGTGGAATCACCTGGTCCGACACACACACAAAATGACATTAAGTCCCGAGTTTGACAGACCCTCATGTGGCAGGGTGTGAGGTGTATTCTAGCACTTTACCCCAGTCAAGGCTGGGTATGCCATTGACAATGTCCTTCCAGTAAGTTTTCTCCAAAATATGAGACAATTTAAAGTGCTTCTTATGAAGCAAATCAATCTAATTCCTGAATCTCACATCTTTGAAAGCTGTAATACTCTGTCCTGTCTATAAATAAAATGAAAAAATGCATGATTCTTTGGTCTGGTAGTTCAAAAAAGTTACTATTCCACAAATTTTCTTAACATCTTAGTTTGACACGTTTGTGGCGTCCATGCAATAAAGCTAAGAAATAGGTGTCTTCCTAACAGGTGATAGAGAATTATGGACTCAGGGCTGGATGAGAGATTAATAACTATTCAAGCCTCATTTTACGAAAAATGAGCATGGGGCAGGGCGAAGGGAAGAGTTAAGTGACTATGATTAGAAGCAACTGTGTCATTTCAAAATAAGAGAATCTTGTTTATTAGAATATCTCTACAGCTCTTAGCCTATAAATGGATACCTAAGCATCTCTCCATCAGACAGTGTGAAGCTGTCAGAGAGTGTGAGTGTCAGAACAAGCTTCACTGCTCATAGCAACATCTGAGAAATCTTAGCCAGAACTCTAAAAAACTGAAGAAAGAGCAAAGAATTTAGTATTTAATAAATCTGACTCCTAATCCCTACCAAGTAAGAACCCGTTTCCTTTTGTGTAAAATGAGAAAAACAACAGTCGTCTCAGATTAGGAACATTCTGTCAGTTCTAAGTTTGAAGATAACCTGAGATGACAATTACATAACTTCTGACATGAACCAGGGATTCACGCACTGTTCCATCAGAGACCCTGTAACAGTCAAGTTACAACCGACAGCAGTGTGCAGAGCAGTTAAGGGGCCAAGCCCTTGGTTTATGCTAAGCCTTGTTTTCCTCATCAATAAAATAGGAATAATTACAGCACCTACTGCACACTTCTTTAATAAACAGAGCTGCTGACAACTCAGCAGGTTAACTGTGAGATCAAGTATCCTGAGGCCATAAGCAGACCGAGCATGCTACACAACCTAATTAGGAAGCTTGCATAGACAAAAAAGTGAAAGCAAGGGTTAACTGACTGGTAGATCATTCAGTCACACATTAAATAATTCTGTTTACTAAGTTACAGGCACTGTGGGAGATTATGGTGAGCAAGGAGACTGGATGGAGTGTAGAGTCTAACTGGGGGTCAGGTGGAGAGATGGAGGGAGGTGGGCAGGAGACAGTCATAAATAGACAAGTAACAGTCTCTGTTAAGAGCTGTCAAGGAGGATAGAGTGTTCTGAGATGTGTTCAGAGAGATATAACCTGACCTTGGGAGGTCAAGGAAGGCCTCTCTAAATATAATTTGATTCTGAGTAAACATTTGAGCTGGGCTGTGGAGAAGGGGTGGGCAAGGGAATGGTTCAAGATGTGACTGACGAAGCAGGAAGAAGCCAGGTCATGCAGGCCTTTCCTCTAAGGCAGGGGTGTCAAACTTATTTTCACCAGGGGCCACAGCAGCCTCTCAATTGCCTTCAAAGGGCCAAACGTAACTTTCGGACTGTATAAATGTAACTACTCCTTAACTAGGGGTAAGGAGCTCGGCGCTGCCTCCAGGTAGAAACAAGGTGCCGGGTGGTGGAGGGCTGGATTCTGTCTACGAGCCTTGTGTTTGCCACCTGTGTTCTAAGACTTAGAGGAAAGATTTTAATCAGAGAAGTAACATGATCAGAAAGGCTCTTGAGGTGGGGTAGGAGTGTATGTGAGAAGACTAGTTGGTCTACTTCACCATTTGAGGTGAGAAGTGTTGGTGCACTGGATGTGTCTCATGAAGAGGAAACAGAAGACTTATTAGAGAGTTACTTAAAAATAAAAAGCTTGCTCTGGTTCCTATTCCTAGGCCCAACAGGTACCACCTAAACAAGAGAGCTGAAGAAAATTCTATTAGATAATTCTCAGTCTGGATAGCAAGACAATTACAACCACAAAAACACAATGCCTACAGGTTTCCAAATAGCAGAAATGATGACCCGAGCTAAGCTCCTGAGGCTTCCTAGGCAGAAGACAGTGGAGCAGCAGACCCCAGACTGGGGGTCCTGGGGTAACACTGAGGGACCTCGCTTAGTGACTAAGAGCCCCAAGGGGGACAGTGAAGTAGACGTCTGCCTGCACGTTTTCTCTTACAGATAAGGAAGGGAAAAAATAACTAGTAAATGTGACTTTGTCACTTTAGAGTTATGGGCACATGGGTCTTTCTAATGAAGCCACATCCTACAAAAGAGCATTCCACACAGCCTTCTCCGGCACCTAACAGAGTAATAGTGCAACCAAAGGCGGAAATGGAAAAGTAATTCATTTCATCTGAAGAAAAATATCTCTCCTTGAGGAATATTTAATATGGCAAATATCAGCATATGAGTAAACCAAATGCAAGTCACTTGCAGTATAGATGTTTGTACAGATCACTGCTTAAAAGAACTTGAGTTAATTTTTTTAAAGAATTAATTAACTCCTAGCTAGCAAAAAATTATCCACGAGGTTTATGCTCCTATTGTCCACAGTAATTATTTAAATGTATTCTTAATTTATAACAGCTCTCTAATTTTGACATTAATCACATTATTTATTATACAATAATTTTATTTTTTACATGATTATCAACTGTTTTCTTAATTAAATCAGGGAGATAAACTATAAGGTACATGAGAAAGTAGGACTATACCTTATCCTTCATTTATATCTCTGTAATCTGGCAAAGTAATAAGACTTAAATTCTTATTAATGTGCAAATTGTTCCCAATATTATATGAGATGATTAAATTTAATTATGGTTAAGTGTACATATTTAGTGTAGGCACAGGAAGGAGAAGGTATAATACTTGACCAAACTATCCTAGCAGATGCAGTAAGAGATTAGGCAAGGGACTTGAAGATACTAGTGAAAGGGATTGATGTGATGGGTCAAGAAGTTTAAGGCTGATCATGGAAGGAAGGGAGAGCCATTCTCTGTAGTTCCCTCCAAATTTTTCTCATGTGAGCTCAGGAATGTTGGGGAAATACATGGCACCAATGATCCTAAATAGATTTGCCTTGGGGGTGGCGGTAGGGGGGAGGGCAGCTGGGGAAATGCTGCGTGACTGAATTTAACAGGGTTCTTTATTGATGGACTAACTGGAGCCTTTTCTACATTACCCTGTACTGTGAAATCTCCAAGCAGCATTTAGAATAAATAAAGTTAGGCGGGGCTACTTTTAATTAATATATTTTTCCAAAAAGAGTACTTCATGAAACAGTTTGAGAGATTTTAAGCTCATGAAAAGTTCTGAGACTCTTGGACGAATATTTGTTTGGACAAGAGTCACTGTAGAGATTTATTATGAGATCAGAGTCATATTATATACCATTTTTCTTAACTTCCTTCCTCATCCTATTATGCTCCTAGCTATAGCACATTCCTGAATTTAGAAGTGGACTAAAATGGGAAAACACATGAAGAACCTGGAAAACTAAGGCTCACCCGCTTAGACCTCACTCTGCTGTCAGAGATACTCCCCACTGTATAGGCAACTAAATTTCTCCATCTATGGCTCTAAACAAGATCCAGTCTCTCTCCAATACCTCAGAGCTGCAGCTTCCCACAGAGAAAGTCCTAATAAAGTTATGTGGATTTATTCACTATTCTTTATAAATATAAATGTTCATTTTATATAGCATTACTTCTTTTTAAAAACAAGGTTGAGACACAAATTAAAAGCTAATTAAAGTAATATTTTAAGTTTCACAGTATCTAATTGTTTTGCATATGTGAATGAGTCCAAATGCCACAAATATTTTTAGGATAAATTAGAAGTCTGTATAAAGTTATTGGGTTAAAAATGATAGCAACTATTTTTTAAAATCATTAATGACAAAAGGTGTAGCATATTATTGGTGTTACAATGTAAAGTTTACCTCTTTCACTGGCATCATCTACTAGAACAATTTCTTCTAGCATGTGTCTTGGTGAGCGATTAATGACACTATGGACAGTTCGCAGAAGTGTGCTCCAAGCCTCATTGTGGAAAACAATCACCACACTTGTTGTAGGAAGGTTATCTGGATACACCTTTGTTTTACACCTAGAGACAAAGCAAATGCCTTTACAAAGAGGGACTGTTAGGACAGCACAACGAATGAATCCAGACTAGAAAGGGTAATAAAACAATGAAAACAGTTTGCTCTCGTGGTGGGACTCTTGGTAACTTTTCATTTATTTAAGTTTCGGTTAATGTTGCATGTTTAATAAATAGTATCTGTTTAAAGTTATGTATTTAAATTAAAATTATTTTAAAGAGGTCAATTCTTTAAAATTAGGCACTTCTTCCTGATGAATGTTTTCTGTGAATTTAACAGAGAAGGTACTAAGGCTTTCTCATCAACCCCAAACTGAATTTATTTCAAGAATCCAGCTGGACAAAAATGCTCAGAACCACTAGAATCTACACAACTTAATAATCTAAACAAAAACGTACCTCCCACAAAGAAAGAGAACTAATATTCACCGAGTGTCTATGGTATATTGGGGACTTAGGATTCCTAACAATTCCCTGAGGTACTGGGAGCCACATTTCACAGATGGAAGCTGAGGACAGAAAGAGCAAGGGGGTGGCAAGGCCTGACTGAGGACTCCACGGTCCACGCCCTGCTGACCAAGCTCCTAATGCAGCTCCTTTACACTGAAATATCAACACGCATCTGGTTTAGTAAAGCAGTGTCTAGAAATGCAATCATCAAAAAGACCAAACACACTAAAAAATACACGCACAGAGAAACAATGTATTAACTGTATGTTTCTAGCACTTTGTTTTAGGCTACGTGGTCTCCTCTTTCAATCTTGTCGGCTGGTGAAACTACTACAGAAAAGGCTAGCAGAGAACAGTAACAGTAGTAAGCAAGCAGAAATCAAGGGATGTGCTTTACAACATAAACACTCCTAAAGTGCACATATAACTCTTTCTAGGTATCCCCAAATTCTAACTGCTGCTCCAGCCTTTTCTTTCCATTTTTGCCCCTGCTCTCTAGCAACCACTAATCTTATTTGTTATTGCCTGTCAGTGGCAGTGAAGAAGGGAAGAGGAGGGAAGAAGTGAGAAACACATCAACTGACCCCCTCTTCAGAAGCTGCCACAACAACCATACATACCAGAAGTGCCACTCTAGGGCTGCTAGTTGGCAGTGGGAAGAAAAAGAAAATGGAAGGGAAAAACGTTGACAAGGTCAAGGGGTTGAATAAAGGAGAAATGGGAAGGAGAGTTCACCACAGGAGCCCATCAGCACTGGTCCCCGTTCTCTCCAAGGAGAAAGGGAGAAACAAAGAGCTTCCGCTGTCCTCTTCATTAAATCCAGTTTCAGCCCCTCCCATCCTTTCTACCATTCTCAAGACTCTCTTTCACAGTAGGGTCTCCATCTCCTATTGTTAGTAACCTCACTATCTATTTATTTACTGAATGAAAAGACCTATAGCCTCACCTGCACGTCACATTCCACTCCTCTCCTTCTACGTTCACTCCAAGATCCACTAGAAGGTCACCACACAATCTACCACCCTGTCTACACCTCCCTGCTCACACCTCCCTGCCCACAAGTCTGGCTTACAGAGGTAAGACCAAAAGACTAGTTACGTAAGCTATGGAATAATGTGTCCCTACCATCCCAAATAATACTTCTGAAAATAGTTTTCCATTACAACTATTTTGTCATAAATGGTAGAGACACGTGTGTATATACGTGTGTGTGTTTATGTGCATTAGTACTTTGCTTCAGGTACATCATAGGCGAACAAACGAAGATAACTCATGTTTTTACGGTAAGACACACCCTGAAAGCCCGACTCACAGCTTACACGACCGCGATGGTGAAATCAGGCATGGCCTGGGTATGATTCAGAATAAGTTTCTGGTATTGTTTAACTGATTCATATTAAGTCATATATGATCTCTTTTCCCAAATGAGTCCTATTTATTATTATAGGAGAAGTGGGAAACAGAAAATAGCCAGGGTGACCACAAAGCTGCTAGCTTAGCAAATCAACAAGAAGAGCAAAATTGAGCGAGACCTTGATGGTGATCAGGAAATGCACAGCACACACAGTGTCATCAGCCACGTGCATGGCTAGGAAGCAACAGGGAGGGAACACAAACATCTGAGAGAGCAGGTTCTGCAGAAGAGAAATGGTAAGCCAGATTTATTTCTTGGATAATATATTAAATAATTAAAGTCTGGAGTTGTGTGGAAAGGAAAAACACTAGAAATAAAGAAGACTGAAATGTAAATCATTCATTAATAGGATGGAAGAACTAAAGAAGCAAATCAAGTATTAGGATTCTAAGAAAAGAAAATAATTGCCTAAATCAGTTAAATGTCATCATTCAGAGAACACAACAAATTCACAAATATTCTCTGAAGGCAAAACAGAAAATACATAGAGAAAACATGGGGAAAAGTATAACAGATCTCAAAATAGATAAACACACAAACCACTCCCCCCAGGAAAGCCATAAAGTGCTCGAGAAGAACCAAAGACCTTTTGAGTATTCTAGTTAAGCTTTTCCCATGGAGGGACCACCTGTCCTTGTGGAGTGGGGGACACAAAGCTGAGGATGAGCAGGAAGGCCACAGGCAGTATTATGAAGCAGCTTTCACCCACCCAGTCCCAAGTGAAACATCCTCAGGAATGACAATCAGCCAGGATAAGGTTGTACCACTTTTTAAAACTGATTATGCTATTATAGTGATCCCAATTTTTTCCCTTTGCCCCCTCTACCTGGTACCCCCATTCCCTCCAGAAATGCCCCACCTTAGTTCACGTCCATGAGTCGTGCATATGAGTTCTTTGGCCTCTCCATTACCTATACTGTACTTAACATGCCCCTGTTTTGTACCTACCATTTATGCTCCTTAATCCTGTATCTTTTCTCTCATTCTCCCCCTTTCCACTCCCAGCTGATAACTCTCCACATGATCTCCATATCTGTGACTCTGGTTCTGTTCTGGTTGTTTACTTAGTTTGTTTTTTTAGATTCAATTGTTGATAGCTGTAAATTTGTTGCTATTTTAATGTTCATAGTTTTGATCTTTTTCTTAAATAAGGCCCTTTAACATTTCATGTAATAATGACTTGGTGGTGATGAACTCCTTGAGCTTTACCTTATCTGGGAAGCACTTTATCTGCCCTTCCATTCTAAATGATAGCTTTGCTGGATAGAGTAATCTAGGTTGTAGGTCCTTGCTTTTCATCACTTTGAATACTTCTTTCCAGTCCCTTCTTGCCTGCAAGCTTTCTTTTGAGAAATCAGCTGACAGTCTTATGGGAACTCCTTTGTAGGTAACTATGTGTATTTAAGATTCTCTTTATTTTTTATGATTTGCATTTTAATTATGGTGTGTCTTGGTGTGGTCCTCTTTGGGTCCAACTTTTTGGGGACACTCTGTGCTTCCTGGACTTCTATGTCTATTATTAGAAGTTTTCTTTCATTATTATTTCAAATAAGTTTTCAATTTCTTGCTCTTCCTCTTCTTCTGCCATCCCTATGATTGAGACGTTGGTACTCTGGAAATGTCTCAGAGGCTCCCTATAGTACCGTTTGTATTTTTTAGGTCTACATTTTTTGAATTCTTTTCTCTTCTTACTGTTCTGGTTGATGTTTAGTTTTTCCTTATGTTCCAAATTGTTGATCTGAATCTTGGCATCATTCCATCCATTGCTGGTTCCCTGTAGAATTTTTAAAATTTTACCTGATAACCTTCATTTCTTCCTGTGTCTTTTTCTTTGCTGTTGCTGTAGTCCATGAGTTCTTTGAGCATCCTGATAACTTGTGTTCTGAACTCTGCATTGGATAAGTTGGTTATCTCTGTTTTTAGTTCTTTTTCTGGGGTTTTGTTCTGTTCTTCCATTTGGGTCATATTTCTTTGTCTCCTCAATTTAGCAGCATCTATGTGTTTGTTTCTGTGTATCAGGTAGAACTGCTTTGACTCTCTGTCTTAGTGGTGTGGCATATTGTAGATTGTGCAAATTGTGTGGGGCAGAGCCTTAGGTAATTGCCAGGCTGGGGCAACCCATTCACTGCTTTGTGGCTCTGTGTGATGGGGAGGGCTCAGAGAAGAAACAATACCAGGGACAGCGCCACTGCCTGGCTTCTGGAAGTTGCCCAGCACTTGTCCTGTTTCTGGTCAATTCACTTACTCCCTGTTGGTGACTAGTGCCCTTCCAGCTGTTGCCCTGGTGTTGAATCACAGAGTGGGTGAGTCTAAGTAAGTTCTAAGTCCATGTGGGCCCTTTATGTGGAGTCTCCTGAAAATCAGACAGTTTCTTCTGCCACCCTAACCCTCACTGGTTTTTACAGCCAGAAGATATGGGAATTTATCTTCCTGGTGCTGGAGCTCTGAGCTGTGTGGTCTGGCCTGAGGTTGGGTTCCCTCACTCACTCTCTCCTGAGGTGTCCCTCCCTATTTTACTCCAGCACCTGTGCGTGTGGGACAGCTCATTCTGCCGCCTCTCCCTGCCACACCACATCTCTGGTCTCTCCATGTCTCCACCCCTCTTATTCTTCTGGATAAATGTGGCTTCTTTAAATTCTTGGTTGTGAGACTTGCATTCAGCTCAAGTCTGGGTTCTGATGGTTCTAGGCATTACTTGTTTTGAAGTCTGGTTGTAATTTTTTTCGGTAGTTGTGTGAGGAAGTGAAGTGTGTTTACCCATGTCTCCATCTTGACTGGAAGTCCTAATTGGTGTGATTTAAAAAAAAAAAAATCATTGTCTTCATCTTGGAATCCTTGCTCTATGACAGCACAGACCATGAAATTTCTGCTCACTATTCAGTCTCTAGTGTCGGGAAGAATGCTTGGTGCACAGCTGGCAATGAAGAAATATTTGTTGAGTAAGTGAAAGAGAAGGCACCCTGTGTAGCCATGGGCACAGCCTGGGATGGGAGCCCGAGCCTGTGGGCAGTGGGCAAGGATGGAGCTACTCTTTTTTTTAAGTTATATAAAACTTTGTGGGTTAGAGAGGGAAAGGAAGAGTCTTAACTTTTTATTAAAATGTATTGATACATACAAGAAAGCTGACAAATCACAAGTATGT